CTGAGTTATTCCACTAAGGCAATTGGTTATAAAGGAAACTCGAAAGCCTTGATTTTATGAATAGATTGTGTTCAAACCATGACATTGCTCGGACACTTGGCAATTCGGTGTTTGCTCCACTGTTTTTGTCAGGTCGAAGGCTTTGTGATGAGATGAACCCTTCAGTTAAACCTGATAAAAGTGATTATAATATTAAGCTATCCCTATAAAGCAATTGGTTGAATACCCCGACTTTATGGATTCGACTAGCCAAACAATGGTAAATCAAATCAAATTTATCTAAGCAAGAAGTTTTCGGTAATGATGGACTAAGAGAGTTAAGGAACACCTGTTATAGTCAATTTCACACGAGCACTCAGGAATTTCATTTTTAGACCGATATTTTTGCACTATCTTTGTTAAAGGAGCTTACAAAACTTGAACAAATGGAAGATTTCAGAGAACCGAAATAGAGGGTCTAGTAATTGATAATGCTAGTTGCATCATTTTGTCCTCATCCAATTGAAATGTCAAGCCAAATAAAAAGCATGTTGCAATGACCGAAAAATGACATTTTTTATGGATGAAACCTTAGGTCAACCTAAAACCAACTCATCCACTTGAATATTTGTCAAAAAGTTATAACTCTGAAAGCATTAAAAGGGTTATTGATTCCTTTGATATTCTTTGAACTCATGTTTACAATTTGATCCGATTTAATTATGAGCCTGAATTAAGAGACAATGTTTTACAGAATTGTTCTATTTTCATATCTTTTTTCCCACCTGAATAACAAAAAGAAAAAAACATTTTCAAACAGGACAACCTCAAATGTGAAAGGTCCTAGAAGGTACTAAGGCTCATTTTTGCCTCTATTGAAGAAAGAACGAACAATGTCAAATTTCGAGCATTTCACAAGACAATCAGTCCAAGAGACCAGATGACACTTGTGACAATATCAATAACCCGAGAAGAAAAGAAGGCATGGTCAATCCCGAGTACAAGACTGGCAGACAAAAATGAGGCTCCAGCCAAGGAATAAAACAAATTAAATTCATGTTGCATGTATCTTAGACATACTTAAGAGCATCGCATTTATCATTTTAGCATACATAATTTTTTTGGAGCTTTTAAAGTCAAAATTTCAACTTCAAGATGAAAGATAATCGATTCAAAAGTGTATTCAAAAATTAATGGTGGTTGCTCAACTTCACAGCGAAGGGGCGACTGTCAACAAACAACTATTTAGTTTCATTCAGAGTTAATTTCAACTTCACAGCGAAGGATATTGGACTCGAGACAACACAAGCTCAAATTCACAGCGAAGGGGCGGCTGGCTGTCAACAAACAATTTTCTAGTTTCAGAGTCAATTTCAACTTCACAACGAAGGATATTGGCCTCGAAACAGCACAAATATTTGGATTTCAACTTCACGGCGAAGGATATTCAAGTCAATGCTCAACTTCACGACGAAGGGGCCATCCACGATTTCAACTCCACGACGGAGGATATCGTGCCCACAAATCCACGATTTCAACTTCACGGCGAAGGATATCATGCCAACTCTAGATTGGATTTCAACTTCACGGCGAAGGATATCCAATTCAAAGCTCAACTTCACGGCGAAGGGGCTTCCCAGTTTCAGAACCAATTTCAACTTCACGGCGGAGGATATTGGACTTGAAACAATACAACTTACTTGGATTTCAACTTCACAACGAAGGATATCCAATTCCATGCTCAACTTCACGACGAAGGGGCCACCCGCGGTTTCAACTTCACGACGAATGGAATCATGCATACAAGCAACATCCATCTCTAGATTGGATTTTAACTTCACGACTAAGGATATCCAACTCAAAGAAGGAGTGTCTGTCAATAAACTTTCCAGTTTCAGAGTCAATTTCAACTTCACAGCGAATGATATTGGCCACGGAACAACGCAACTTACATTGGATTTCAACTTCACGACGAAGAATATCCAATTCAAGGCTCAACTTCACAACGAAGGGGTCATCCACGGTTTCAACTTCACGACGAAGAGAATCGTACCTACCAGCAACATTCATCTTCAGGAACAAGCATATTATCTATCGCCTTTGAGATTGTTTCTCTCGAAACAAGGGGTCATCTCGCTTGACACTAATTTACTCAAAACAAAGTTTTGTCTCTCTTGAAACAAATTTTCTCTCTTGAGACAGTTTCCCTTGAAACAAAAATTTTTACTCTCTTGAGACAGTTTCTCTTGAAACACCAACCTTTGAAATCGTTTCTCTTGAAACACGAAAAAAACCTTTGAAAATATTTCTCTTGAAACACAAAGACCATCGAGTTCGACTACACTAAGCTCAAAGGCACATCATTTGTAGCATAACTCAAGGCTAGAAGGGTTATCTGCCAACAAAATACCTTCGAGTTCGACTACGCTCAGCTCAAAGGCACATCATTTGCAGTATAGCTCAAGGCGAGAAGGGCTATCTGTCGACAAAAACTGACGATTTCGATTTCATTCAGCTCGATGACGGCGATGAACTACTTTCTAGAAGAATTTTCAAGCCGAAATCTTTAAACCGAGAAGAAGACAAAGGCCTAATTCCAGGAAGCCCAATCACATTTGAGCGGACCGGACAAAAATTAATTGTCTTTTCGTCTTTGCCCTATTCTTGTTCACTCAAAAAAATGTGCAAAGAAAGGCAGCTGTAGACACTCGTTTTTTCCAGGTTTAAAAAAATATTATTATTTATTTATTTATTTTTATTATTATTCTTATTAATATTTTTATTATTATTTTTACAGATTTTTTGTTTAACCCCCATTTCCTGCAAATTACCCATTAAACCACTACTCACATACATGACCAACCCCCACCCACCACCTCGCACGTCTTCTTCTTGGGGAGGAGAAAAAACACGAAAGGTGGGGCTCGGTTCTCTCTCTCTCTTTGTCTTATTTCTCTTTCTTCCATGGCTTCTGCACTGTACCTGTGACGACGAGCTGCTTCCTCGTCTCGATGCCAGCAACAGAACCAAGGTTTTGAAATACAAACTCGTAGTCATCGCATCGATCTTGATGGCTGGTGCTCTCGGCGTTTCGCTCCCGATTCTCGCCAAGAAGATCCCGACGTTTCAATCGGAAAACAACAACTGCAATAATTGTAAGGACAAGAAAATTTGGATGCATTCCGTTCAGCTCTGGATTGCTGATGCTGATGATGATTGCTACACTAATCACACTCTAGATAATAAGAGAAACCATGGAGATCCATGTAAAAACATGGGAGGAGCGAGAGCGTTTATGCCATTCAAGGCAAGTTTGAGTTTTGCAGTGAGGAAAGAAGAGACAAAGGAGATACCGGTTCCTGGAGCAGTTTCGTGTTCCGCAACCAATGATCAATCGAATTTTCGGTCTGTACCATTGGCAGTGCTTTCCAATCAGCTGCAGCATTCCGGTAGGAAGCAAAAGAGGTGTTGGTCGCCTGAGTTGCATCGCCGGTTCGTCAATGCTTTGCAGCAGTTCGAAGGCCTAATCAAGATGGCAGATCTCACGAAAATGTTGCAGCGATCTGTACTCCGGCAGACTATAATACTCGCCCGCTTGACACAATCTACATCAATTTTATTGATGCGCTTCCTGTGGTGAAGTACTGCTCAGAGAACAACAAGCGTCTTATTCATTTCTCCACGTGTGAAGTGTATGGTAAAACTATTCAAAGCTTTTGGAATTAAAGGAGGAGAATTAAGCCAAATTGAAATTTGGTTTTCACAAAACACGTGCACCGGTTGCATTTTCCAGAGGGTAACCCCGTTGGTCTTGGAAGGTTAGGGCTAAATTGTTGTTTTAATCCTTCCAGGTTTGGAGAAATTTTATTTGTTTGCTTGAAGTCATTTCTCATTGTAATTTGGTCCCCTAACTTTTTTTTTCTTTTGCAGTTCGTTTTTAGTACCAATTTAGTCCATCAATTTTAATTTATTTCAATTTAGTTGTTCATTTTTTCCTTTTTAATTTTAGCAATTTTTTATTTTAGTTATTCTTTTTTTAATTTTAGTGTATTATTTATTTATTTATTTATTTTTCTTATTTTTATTTTATTACCTTTAAAATATAACATTTTTGACTTTTTAGGGATATTTCCAACCGATTAAAGGTAATTAGTTTAAATTGAATTTTTTTAAATTTCAATTTAAAATTTTTAATTTTCGCAATCAAAGACAACCGATAAATTAATTGGTACCGAAAAGGCAGTTCAAAGGTACTAATCATTCCTTGACCGTAACCGACTCTAAAACCCGACACATTTCTGGTAAAACGCAGATCAGATAAAATGGTATCCGATCCACCTACATGTTTTTTAAAGTGATCGATGGCGACTCTAATAAATTATTTCAAATCGAAACTCAATTTCGGACCCACCTGAAAGACGATTCCTACATAGTAACTCTAGTTTAGGAAACAATCAAGTATTCTCAAAAGTACGTTTGAATGAAAAATTTAGAATCTAATTTCCAAATAATAGCAACTCAAAATGCATCATTTCATAATATTAACACTTCAACGTTCATTAAAACTTTTATTTTATAGTGAGTTGCAACTTTTTATAATAAATAATAATATAAATGATAAACTATTTTAAAAAATCAAGATTATCTAACCAATAATTTTAAATGTCAATATAATTCATTTAGGTTAGGATCCACTTACACAATATAAAACTCTTTAGTTTTAGACATATTTAAGACCGATGAATGAATGAAAATAGATAATTAAGATTGACTCATTTTTTCTAATGAATATCTTCTCTTTTCAGTTATCTATTTTCACTCATCCAACAATCTTAAATCTGTGTAAAACTAAAAGAGTTTTACATTATGTAACAGGATCATATCCCGTTCATTTATATAATACACCAGATCTTTGTAATAGATTTATCTAAAACAATTAATTTTATATAACAAATTAATGTTGATAGTATTTTGATGTTAATAAATAAGAACGACACACACTGCGAAAAAGGAACGGATGCTGACAGTGCTAAACATCTTTGAGCATTAATAAAAAGTTAGAGAAACAGCCATCACTCCAATATATACAAAGCTAAGCCCCCAAACTTGATAACCAAACCAACACCCATTCTCTACTTACAAATCCCAAACCCCAAATATTGTGTCACCTATTTCCATTACAGCATCAAGATCCCCCAACCATACTGCTCTTCTCCACCCCTTTTCATGTACACCCAGCACCTACCTAAATAATAATTACAAATTCACAGATATGTACCTGCAAAAAAGGCTATGAAAGGTGGAATGACCCTTGCCCTTCCGTTATGGCGTATAAGAGTTTCTCTTTCATCTTCTCCTGCAAATATATATATAAATAAATAACACAATTTCTCAGTTTAGCTTGATCCTTATAAGGAATTTAATCTTAAGATTCATTTAAGGAAGTTTAAAGGATTACTTTCGAAGAATACGGCGGCAACTTCAGGTAATTGGCACAAGTCATGACACTGGGCAGCTCTGTATCAGCACAGTTGCTGCTATGCTGAAGGAAACATTCACATTGAAAGAAATGATGAATACATAATGTAAGCAAATGAAAAATATATGCATACAAACTGGGAAACTAAGGTTTATTTATTTTTATTAAACTGACCTTGCGCACGATTGTCAATTTGGGGTTTAAGGATGCCAAACCTCCCGGAGGTAGACGGGGTGCACCGGTCACAAATTGCAGAAATGATCGCCGTTGTGCAAATTCAAACTCTTGAATAATTTCCAGTAGCTGAAATTCAACATGTGAGTCAGTGACTTTGGTTTCAACAGATGAAAAAAGGAAGTGGAAAAATGAAGAAACTGAAAGTAATGCTTACATTAATGATGGGTGGACTGCTGGCAGTATATCCGTGATCAAACTTGATATGTTCCAGAAGTTCATTGAACTGCTTGAAAAACAACATAAAAATTTAGTAAAGTAAATCCCTCTTTTCTCTATAAATACACTGAAAAATCAAGAGATAGATATACATACGGCCCAATTATCACATTCTCCACAAAGTAAACGCTCTAGTTCCTTCTCTGTGAAAATATGGAGATGACTAATTGAAAAAACCTGGAATGTACCACCAGATGCAGATGGACTTGAGTATTTTCACTTCTTGTTTTAAAATATAAAATCCAAATCTGAGTCCCAAAGGAAAATTCGTGTGCAATATATTTACTAAGCAAGAGAACTTCAGACATGGGAGCACATAGATGAACAAACAATAGATCTCAAAACCAAATTTGCCCCTGGGCAACTGAATTACCAATGGCTGAACCAACTTGTGGAAGTACGTCTCGTAGCAAAGAACGTTCACACTAAAAAGGCAATATGACTCACGATTTAAAGGTGCAAGGAATTGCTCCACAGTTAGTTGAACATTATTTTGTTCAAGTTTACAACACATGTAGAACAAATTGAACATCTCCATTGTTGTTTTCAGTTAAGTAGAACACAAAGAACATACCTGGTTAAATCCAGACTTGAAAGCTTCAATTTGTCTGGCAATTCCACTATGTATGGTAGCATCCACCACAAGCTCAATATAATCCTCCAAGTTATCCAAATTTACCTGGAATGATGAATAACTTAATGTGAATCAAGTTTTTCATTAGATTAATGGATCTAGTGAATGAAAACATGGTTTAGAAATACTCACCACTTTGTGATTACACTCGGATGAAAGAACATAATCAGGATAACCAGGAAGGGTAAAGTCCAGATAAAGGTCTTCAATCTTGGTATTTCTAAAATACAAATCCTGTTCCAATGAAGAGTTTTCAACACAAATGGATTCCAGATGCATTTTCCGATTAACAATAGCCTGAAACTCCAGTAGCGTCCTACCAAGCTCAGGGTCAAATGATTGGATGTCAAACAAACTAAGGTCCTACAAAACCAAAAGGTTGCGTATCTTAATTGCAGGAGTGCAATGTTAAATTCTTAATGTTTAAGGGACAGTTAAATCATGACTGAAAATGTGTACCTGACCCAAAATTAATTTGTAGAAGGCTTTGGAGAAGGGAACATCCAGGACTCTTCCATCTTGAAAAGCCTTTGCAACAATTTGGCCCAAAAGTACAAACTTTTTTAATACTTCAAAGAACTGTATCCCACTACATGAATCTGATTTAGGTGAATATGGACAAGGGAATAGCCCAAAACTGCTTCTCGGGATTACGTAATCAGTAAGCAAGGTCTTTGTAGTGATAATTGAACTATGGTCCTCCCTCCACATGCCAAGACCAGGTTTCTGAAATTCATGACTAACAAGAGTATAGAATTCCAAAGTTGGACCCAAGCCAGTGCCAACTTCTTCATCATATTCCACTTCAAGAAGTCCCTTGTGACGAGCATGTAGGTCCATCATTTTGGTAGCAGAATCTAGAATTTGATCACGCAAGACTAAAAATTTCTTACGAGGCAAACCGCCTGAAGTAGTTTGCCTGTCATTTGAAGCACCTGAATTACTACGTGAAATGGCATTAAGTTGAACTCTTCGTGGACCAAAGGCTGCCAATCTGAAGTACTTACATTTTGCCTCAAAGCCAAACAAGAAGGGACAAGAAGACATTAAATCATTACACCATGAAGGCATACCACCAGTAGACAAATTAAAAGCATCCCGCATCTGCTGCTCTAATTTTCCTGTCAATCTACTGCTCACAAACTCATTATGAGGAACTGAATGAACCATTTCCTTCAAATTATCCAAGTTATCAATCCTAACTTCAGCAAATGCACATATTCTCTCACAAGACATTAGATGAAATGAATATCTGTTGATGCCTTCCAAAATTTTGAGCAGAAACAGTATATCATAAATAGGACTCAATTTATCCAAATCAGAAGCAATATTGCATGCAAACATGCTGGAAAAAAATGCCATATTCTGCATAGAAGCAATCTTTTTATCTGATACTGAGGAATTGTCTTCTACATATGTATGTCCATGAGGATCATCTTGCTTAGATTCCACAGCTGTTTTGTATGTTATTGTGTATACTCTGCTCCACAACTTTGACCATGTTATAAATTCACTCTCTGAATTTAGTAGCTGCTGAAGAATCACTTGATATAGCGTCAAAGTACGGCCTAGTTGATGTCCTTCTAGATAAAGCAATAGTCTTGGTGACAAATCTTTGATGTCATTACTACCAGAGGCAGAACAGGGAGTTCCCATTGCTTTAGTTGACTCTGTAGGAAACTCTTGTTCCTTCCCAGCGGAGCCCTGTAAATAACCCAATTTGCGGTTAGTGAGACCCAAGTACCTCTTTCTAAATAAAAGCAGCACTTATTGTGAGAAGAGACCACTGATATAGACATTTAAAAGAGTAATTTAAGCACGTTCTTATGATACATACAAGAAGAGAGACAATAGTAAGCTAACAATACATACCATATTGGTTTCATCCAAAGACATTGTTTCACCAGAATTCAATTCTCTGAAATGCACTTGTTCAGAGGCCATCTGTGACAAGTTAGTCTCATCTTCCTACAGAAAAGCACAACTGAAAGAATGAGTAAAGCTCAAAACTTACTAAAAAAAATTACCATAACAGATCTAGAAATGAAAAAAAGGAGAAAAAAATGCTAATATTTAAGGTAAACAAACTACAGAAGTTACCTGTGTCTCTGGCAAATCAGCGGACGTGCTGTCTATAAAACCTGAACTCTCCCCTTGACTAGAATTTGCATTTGATGGTAAAAGATTAGGTAGAATGTCCCTCTGTTCCAATGCTTCTGCATTTAAATGCCCTTTTTCTGTTCGTTTAGTAAAAATTTTAGACCACAGATATCCTTCAATGGCATCTAATGAAGAAAACGGGTCAACAGACAAAACATCATCTGCACAATCAGAGAGGCAGGTCTCCCCTTCCTCCCTCACAAAACGAACCCTAAAACATGGATACATAACGCAACGTCCATTTGGGACTGTAGCAAAAGAATTTCTCTGCTTGAATCCATGGCTTGAAATAACAGGGAGATTTTCCAAAGATGACAATGCACTTTGTAGTTTCTGTATTAGTATTGACACTGGCAAGTCCTCAACAAGGATATCTGAATAAGAGAAAAACAATTTTGCGAAGACCTGAAACCTCTTCCCCAAAACACCCAAAAGATCACAACTACCAATAAATTCCACATTCTCTCTCGTGTACAGCCCATTGGATAGGTAATGTATAAGCGATTTCATGATTCCACTTTCAATAAATTCAAAAGTGGAAACAGGTTCTCTACCATTAAGCTTCAGTATAATTTGATGCAATGTGCTGTAAAACTTCGCTTCATGTTGAGCTAGAGTATCACCATCAACAGGCATGTCTATCAAATTAATCAAGGCAGCAGATAAGTTTCTGAGGTTTTGAAGAACATCAGTCATTCCTTTTTCAGACTCGACTAATTCTGGAGCAAAGTAATTGGTTTTTATATGTTTAGCAAGATTGCAAACAGCATCCTTGTCAATCTTACAAGGTGGCACAGAGGAAGATGGCACTGTATCAAATGCATAGCACAAGCATCTCTGGAAATCCCTTGCAGAAGACTTTTGGCTTGAATCAAATGATGGTTGGATACCACTGAACACTGGAAGCATCAGTTGCGAGCATTTTTCAGGCATTAGTAGTGCATCGATCGCAAAAAGAACACCCTCCTTTACAAATGAGTTCAAAAAAGCATTAGAAAGCTTTTGGAGGATGATCTCAGTGATTTGTAGGGCTAATATCAGCAGATGGTGATCCTTTCGAGTAAACACTCCAGCCAGGAAACTGCCAGATGTAGATTCATGAAAATACATTCAAGATCTGTTGACTTATCAATATATTATTTTAAAATAAAATAAAAATTCCTATTCACCTTGGAATGTTGGCAGTCTTAAGCAATTCAGCAAGAATGTCAGGTTTGCTCAGAAAAACTAACTTCCTGATAACAGATAAGCACCCATAGCAAACATATATGTTTGCACCAGAATTTACTACCTGTTCAATTGGTGAGAAATGTATTACAAAACTATTGCAAGGACAAAATACAGACATTTCAATTGTACATATTGAGGAACTAACCTGGACCAGCATGGGAAATAAATCCATTCCAAATCTTTGCAGATGATCATGGTGATCAGCTAAAAATGATTCCTTATCCAACACTACCTGATTAGCTTGATCTCCAGTGGAGGTGGGAAGCAGCTCATTGAGCAATTTCAAAACTTCATGTACCTGCCAAAGACAATAGCAATAGTGAACATGGATAGAAAACCAATTAAAATGGTATTAAGGTAGGACATGAACCCAGTGCCCGTCACAACAGTAATAACTGTTGTTCGCCACAAGGGTAGACTCAAAATAAACACTCAAGCCATTACAAAACAAATTGGAATGCCATTCAGATAAGTCCACTGTAAGATGCAAACCTGATTGCAATTGCCATCAACCAACTGTGGAGAAGATATTCCATGAGAGAGGTCATAAGTAGACAAGACATCTTTCAGTGTGCTGCTTATATTTAGCTCATAGAGATTCCTAAAAGCTACAAAAGACCCAGAAGAAAGTTTGACAAGTAATCCTATCAAGCCCTGCCAAGTGCAACCAACATGGAACAATCAAATCATCATTTAACAGGCAGTGAAATATGAATATAGTTAATCGCTGACCAATAATCAAGGAAACCAACTTACATTGTATATTGGCTGGGATACAGTGGTCCGGCTGTTCAATTTCATAAGGTGTGTGACTTGATTAATCAGCTCATGCTTACAAAGTTCCTCCAGCAGTTCAGAAGACTGACACATTCTCTCAGATATTTTGATCAAGCAAGTTGCAACACTCTCAACAAGCTAGAAATTTGAACATCAAATTCTTAGGTCAATAAAACTATATGAGAAATAAATACATTCAAGGAAACATCAAAAAGAGGAAAACCACAAAGAATTAAAAACCTGTTGGTCCTCATGCTTAAGTAAAACACATAATTTGGGAACCGCTTCAGCGAAACGTGCAGGACCCTCTGGAGGAAGTCTCTTACAAATGTTCACCACAGTTGAAAGTGCAACTCTCTTGCAAATTTAGAATCAAAATTCAATGAAACAGCATATACCCTAATCCTAAAATTAAGAACAAATTGTAAATGAATTACCTGCACACTAATTGAGAAAAAATCTATAAAATTTAGAACAGCCATTATTGCACCAGCTTGTAAACAAGCATGCGGTTGATCACGAGATATTTTCTCCAATGCTTGCAAACACTGCATTACAAAATATTTCTCAGCAAAACCAAGTTCTGTTACTTCAATCTCACTACAGTTTCTTACAATAACAAACTTTGTAACTTCAATCACACTATAATCTAACAAACAAACTTAAAAACATACCTGCTCAGCCACATCCACATATTCAATAGCCAATAATTGTTCACAAAGAGCAGGAACTGCATCGTGCCTTACAAGGAAACCAGATGATCTAGGATAGACATCACATAAATAAGTCATTCCCCTAATAGCCAACAACATTATATTAGCGTTGCTCTCAATCTTCACAAGCTTTACAAGTATAGGTGATAAAGAATCCACCATCAAACTCGAAAGCGAATCCTCATTACAAAATGACAACACTTCACAAAGTTCAGTCAACGCAGCCAGTTGACCAGAACCTCCATTTCCTCCTCCGTTCAAATTTGACAAAATACTGCTCAACTTCCCATGATCACTCGACGATCTTCTTCTCTGATAATCTCTTAAAATGTGATGCCGTGGTTGTTGCTCGGCATCGTCAGAATCGCATGATCCGTAACCTGAATCTTCTTCCTTCTCGTGTTCACCATCGGATCGGATGGAACCCGAGGCAGAAGAGGAAGTTTCCATTTCAGCATCGGGAGTAGAAATTGGTGAATTGAGGTGAGTTCGGATTGAGGAACAGTTGGAGGAACTTGGTCGAAACTCTAATGAATTACAAGCTCGCTTATCTGCTGGTAATTCGTCAGTTGTTTCCGTTCGTTTCTGCCCTCGACTTCCCATGAGAATTGGGTTACTTATCTTTCTTTTGGACTGACTAATTTCCAAACAAAAGCAATTCACTGAGACCTGTAATATTATGAAAAAGAAAATCGCATTAAGCAAAGCAAAAATTCATAGTTTCCTACGGAAGAAAATAAGAACAGACATCGTAGAACATGAAAAATTACAGTACCACAGTAACAAAAAAATCATAAAAAGATTCAGTTTATAAAACTTCGCAATTTAATTTTTTTTCCAGAAAAAAAAAAGAAGTCCTTAAAAGACGAAAGGGAATCAAAACAAAGAAAATAAATTAGGGTTAGTTTGGGAGGAAAACGATGCATCAAAACCATAAAAACAAACGATCAATCCTTAGAACAACTCAAAACAGTTCAAAACGGTAATTAAAAAAGACAGAAAACAAAGAAATTAACGAGAAGGTAAAAGAAAACAAAGCAAACAACTAATAGATTAGCTTAAAAAACATATAAGAAAAATAAAAAGCAAAACACGTCAAAGAAAATTCAATCTTCATTTTCTTCCTCGTTAAGTACCTAAATAGAACAATTATTGATTAATCGGTCTTTCGAGAGAATCGAAGACCTACAGAATTTTAATCAACGGGGATTAACTTATAGAAGATTGACAATCTTTTCGTCTTTCTTTCTTCTTTTTTTCTCCTCCTGCTGCTGATGTTTATACGATTGTGATGATGATGAAAAGCCAGGGCATCGTTTTAGAGAGAAAGTAAATAAGGGGATTTTAATTGAAGTTTTCTCCCAAATTTATATAACACTGGCTTTTTACAGTATCGTGTGCTACTCAACTGTATTAAAAGTCATACACCTTCAAAAGTAGTAGCTGTCAGATTATCATCGTTTGGCTTTTTGATGAGATGCGGAATTTTCTACCATAGGATCATTTGAGTTTTTAGTTTTTTTTTCTGTGGTCTTGACTTTTATCAGTAATTGGATTTGTAATTTTTTATTTGGCTTTTTTTTTTTGAAAAATCATCGATGATCGGTATATTTATCGATTTAATACCGGTCAAATTATATTTCTCGATTTAACACCTTTAGCGGTAAAGTGCGCCCCCTACATCGCGCTATATGCTGATTTGGCGACACGTGGGATAAGACGTGCCCTTGAAGCGCGTCTTATGCTGACATGGATACATGTGTGTAAGGGGCTGACATGGATACACGTGTGTAAAGCGCAGTCCCTAGGGCGCATCTTAGGCCACGTAGGGTTATAACGCGGGACATGGGTTGTGTCTTACCTTTAATTCTGATTTATATATGGCGCAGGGCAAGGGTTGCGTCATATTTTTAACTGATATAATTATATAAGGCGCGGTGCAGGTACTGCGTCTTGTAACTTTTCCCGGCTATAAATAACCTTCTCCCCGATTAAGTTCCTCACATCTCTCCTCTCAACTTATAAATTAATACAACAATTCCGTCAACGAGTCAATAATTATGACAATTTTCTCATATTTTATTCAGAAGTTCGATTTTTCGTTATAAGGTAATTTTGTGATAAATGTTTTTATTATATTTATTGTTTATTATGATTATTTGAAAAAATATTATACTAATTGTTGTCAATTAATTTATGTGTTTGTAAAATTAGAAAGTGGGAATATACGTCGAAATAGTTTTGCGGTACAGGTAATAATATAAAATTATATTATTTAAATTATTTACGTTTATGTGTAAAAATTTTATTTTGTTATATTTTCGTTCATATATTATTTATTAATCAGCATTGTTTTTAGTTTTTTTTGCATATATAATATTACCGTACTTTTAAACTCAAAGAATGACGCGACTTTCAGCTATTATTTATTATGATGGTGAAATTCGAGAAGATGAAACCGGCGTTGTTTTCGTATCAAATGAGCTTGTTAAAATATCATTGAAGAGAAACATAACTCTTGAGGAGCTGATAACGAAAATTTCGAGGAAGATTCATGTTGGAAGTAGTAGAAGAATGTCGTCGTTGCAGTACAGATTTCCAACATCATTGTTGCCATTAACTTATACAGCGTTCGAACTTTTGAACAATGATGATGTTGAAATGATGGTTGAAGCTCAAAGTAATTATTCAGACGCCGATATTGAGATGTATGCAAATTTTATTCAAGTGCGTGTCGTTCGGGGTCAATCATTAAGCTCCCACTATGGGTTGGCTGAACAAGTTGACAACCCGACGATAGTAATGTGTAATGATTTTAATGTCATAATGGGGAGACATTCATCCGCAACTCCTTACGATATGTACCGAGGTGGGTCGACGAACAATCCGTATGATAATATCGCGTCCAGTTCAAGGGGAAGGCATTCATCTGCAAATCCGTTTGACCTTAATATGGAGATGCCATCGACGCAACCATCTGTGCAGTTTCCATTTGACACGATGGCTTCAAGCTCTAGGGGAAGGCATTCGACTGCGAGCTTTTTCGATCTCAATGTCAATATGCATTCTAGTTCAAGGGGAAGGCGTGCAAGTAGTAGGTTCTTCGACCTAAATGTGGAGCGCATAGAGGAACCATCATCTTCACCAGAAGAACCGCTTCGTGAGCCTAGTGCGGATGGTGCTGAGACTGGACTATTCATTCACTCTGAATCACCGTAATTCAACTCCGATGATGATGAAGTTCCAGGAAATGTGGCACAAACTGACCCTCTTACACACATGTATGAAGCTGATTATGGTGCAATGTACGGGCCAGAATTTGCGGATATGCCTCATCTCGGTGACTATGGATATTACTCATCAATAAATAATGGTGAGTTATCTTTAGGCATGGAGTTTTCAAGCAAAGAAGAAGCGGTGATGGCTATAAAAATTACAATATATGTAATTCTATTCAGTCTAGAGTCAACCGATCCACGACCGAAAAATATGTATGCTACTGTGCCCGACGCGAAAATGGATACAATTGGATGGTTCGCGTATCGAAAAGGAAGAGGAAAAACAACATATGGGAACTAACAATATACAACGGTCCTCACACATGTTGTGCTGGAGGGGTCAACCAAGATCATCCTAACTTGGACTCTGAAGTGATATGCTAAGCCATCATGTCCATGGTAAAAGTAAGCTCTCATATAGTTGTTGCTGTGTTGATTTCATTTATACAATCGCAGCACGGGTACACTGTCTCCTATAAAAAAGCTTGTTTGGAAAAACAAAATGACATTGTCAAACTTCATGGCGAATGAGATGCATCTTACAACGAACTTCCAGGCTGGTTTAGGCTGGGACAATTGTGGACTTCGAAACCTCCTATGCATACCATAATGATCGAGTTCTCCATGATCGATGCCAATTCTATCGGGTTTTTTGGACTTACCCACAGTGCGTTAATGCTGTCAAATACTGCAAGTCTGTGGTCCAGATCGACGGGACTTTCTTGTATGGAAAATACAAGCAAGTTTTATTATTGGCAGTTGTCCAAGATGGCAATCGCAACATTCTTCCAGTTTCTTTTGCTCTTGTCGAAGGAGAATATACAAATTCTTGGGCTTTTTTCCTCTGAAATTTACGTACACATGTTATCACAAGGGAAAACATCTGTGTCATTTCAGATTGCGGAGCTGGGATCAAAGCAGCAATGGAGTCTTTGGGTTCAATGTGGAAACCACCATTTGTCCAACATAGGTATTATCTTTGACACATTACTGCGAACTACCATGGAAGGTACAAGAAGAATGATGAGCGTCAATTAATTGTGCGCATGGGTAAGTAAAACTGATGTAGTGTGTTTTCTTTTCGATCGTTTTAATTTTGCAAAGAAAGCAAGTTAGTAAGTTATACATTTTTTGACCAGGTTACGAACTACTTCCTCGAATGTTTGAATCAATGCTTCAACATTTGCGGGTGAAGAACGAGGAAGGATACGATTACATCAGTCTCATCGATAAAGAAATGTGGACGAACGCATATGATGGTGTATATCGATATGGACACATGACGACCAACTTGGTAGAGGCAATCAATTCGACCTTAAAGGGTGCACGTTACTTACCAGTAGCTGCTTTGGTAAAGACTACATATTTTTGTTTGGGGGCACTTTTTGCAAAGCTCGGGGGACAAGCTCAAACCTGGATGCAAGGCGGTCATGTCTATCACCCTAGATTAGTTGCAGATCTACAGAAAAAAAAAATTTCTGCATCAAATGGAATGTCTGTAACAAGCTTCTCTAGAAGGCATGAAATGTTTCGTGTCACAGAGTTTCCGCGACCTCTTCAAGGGATTGAAGTTGTGTCGTTAAGAGTAAATCTAAGGGACAGAACGTACGACTGCGGGTTTTTTCAAGCTCTGAAGTATCCATGCTCTCATGTGGTAGTAGCTTTCTCGCATACACGTCAATACTATAACCATTTTGTGGAGCCCGTATACCTACTATCTGAAGTTTTTAAGGTATATAAATTTGAGTTTCCCCCCATAGGTAATGACAAAGACCCTGATGAGGTTCAAGATTGGCTTCTGATTGTACCAAATCCGAGTTTATTGAGGGAGCGTGGTCATCCAAAATCCAATCGAATTCATTGCGATATGGATATTCGAGAAAGATATAGACAAGACAGAAGATGAGGGCATTGTAGAAACCCAGGACACACTAGAAAAATATGTCCACTTCTGTTGCCATCAAGTAATAATTGATGAGGAAATGATGTATTTGTTTATCAAATAATAATTCTTGTACTTCAATTTGCATTTACTTCAAGTTAATGTCATTCGATAATCGCTGATGAAGATTAAAAAAACGATACAATAATACGAGATTGAAAGTTTGCGTTATTTGTGATTATAATAAAAGAGATAATAAGTGACAAACTTAATAAAGTTATCGAACACAATCATTAAATTTTATCAAACTGATAACAATTTGGTATTTCAAAATAATTTTAAATACAACAAACTTACAATAAGTTTTAAATGGTAAATGATAACCAAATTACAATAACTGATATTAAATGATAATAAACAAAATTAACTGAAATACATTAAAAAAAAGTCCAACAAATTTAACAAAATAAAGTAAGTATTAAATGAGAAATAATAAAAAATTACAATTAAAAATTCCAATAAACTAAATACAAATATAATAAAAACAAAATCTATCGATGCTTGTGACGCGAATGTGTTCCGCAGGGTGGTGGATGTCGGTCTCGAGGAGGATTTCTTCGTATCACTGGTTGTGACTCCTCGCTGTCATCATCATCACCATTATCATCGTCGTCATCGTCGTCCTGAGTAGGTACATGATGAGCTGATGACGATGAAGCACCTCCATAGAATAAGGACCCTAGAGGTGTATGACTGACTATCCCACCGGCCTGCGAAAACTGGGAAAACTTATAAAACCCAGGCATCGCTGAGTGTGAAAACTATACAGGAGGTGTCTGTGTTGCGGCCATGGGTGATGAGGCTGAACCCGCCAAATATCCAGTATATAAACCCCAAGTTGAATTTGCAAACATAGACCCATAATAGCCTCCAGGAGGGGTCATCTGTGACGGTGGCGGTGGCGGGGTCATAAAACCAGGTGATGGTGACGGCGACGGCATCGGGTAAGGGAATGGCGGCGGCGGCATCTGGTAATGGAAAGGTGGTGGCGGCATCATATATGGCTGCGGTGGCTGCTGTGAAGGTCTTTCTGGTACAGCTGAGGATGAACCAGAAGCCCCTGCTCTCCGTCCACGAGTCGAGGGACGATGGTGCTGTGTCGGTGAACGTCTCT